GAACTGAGAGTCATATGCCCCTTCTCGTATGGAAATGTCTTCTTTTTCTGTCTTTTTATTAGTGACAAACCAAGAGGTACAGTAGTAGACTTACAGATTTTTGTGCTTGGGTTTCAATTATACAATGATTAAGTACCCATCCCTCCACCAGTGCCCATTTTCCACCACCATGGATCCCAGTATCCCTCCCACCCCCCATCCTCCCCATCCCACCCTGCCTCTGTGGCAGGGCATTCCCTTTTGTTCTCTCTCTCTTTTGGGGTGCTGTGGTTTGCAAAAGAGGCATTGAGTGGCAATCATGTTTGGTCTATAGTCTACTTTCAGCATGCTTCTCCCATCCTGGGAGGATCCTCCCAATACCCTTTATTTGATGCTCCCGTCTCTATCTGAGCTGCCTTTTCCCCTAGCATGTGTGGCTGCCTCCAAGCCATGGAGTAAAATTCCTGGTACTAATCTCAGCCATTCTTGGGTGTTAGTCTCCTATTTTGTTACTTTATGTTCCCCAGATGAATGCAATCTTTCTATGTCTATCCCTTTCTTTCTAAGTCATTTCTCTTAACATGATACTTTCCATGTAGTACCTGGTTATCTTGCTGCTGACTGGGTGAGTTGCACTACCCTGTCTTCATTTTATCTGCTGTTAGATCCCTTCCGGGCTGGAGCGATAGCACAGTGGTAGGGCGTTTGCCTTGCACGCAGCCAACATGACCGACCTGAGTTCAATTCCTCTGTCCCTCTTGGAGAACCCGGCAAGCTACTGAGAGTATCTCGCCCGCATGGCAGAGCCTGGCAAGCTACCCATGATGTATTCGATATGCCAAGCACAGTAACAACAAAGTCTCCAATGGAGAAGTTACTGGTCCTGCTCGAGCAAATCCATGAATACCGGGAGGACAGTGACAGTGACAGATCCCTTCCAGTACTTTTCTGTTCAGTTCTTATATTTAGCTGTGACTTATGTTTATTTTCTTATATTTGAGTTAAATTGCTCACTGTGTTAATCCAATTTTCTTGATTCTCTGAGCATATCTGTGACTTTCAGTAGCTTGTCTCTGTTATTATTAATTTTTTTTCTCTGGTCTTAGTTCATTTGGAAACTATTACTGCTTCCTCATATAGATAAATCCATTTCCACCACCTCTCCCAGTCTTGAAGGAGTGGCCTCATGTATAATAACCTTATCATCCAGCCACGTAGCTATTTTCTTTTGAACTTTTCTGATTGTCCGAGCAACTCATTTTATTTGTGTTTAAATTGAATCACTGAGAGATAGACCATTGCAAAGCTTTTCATGATTGGGTTTCAGTCATATAATGTTCTAACACTCGTCCCTCCACCAGTGTACATTTATCAGCACCAATGTCCCCAGTTTACCTCCTAACACCTCCTGTCCCTGCTTGCCTCTATGGCACGGACCTTCTCTCTCTCTCTCTCTCTCTCTCTCTCTCTCTCTCTCTCTCTCTCTCTCTCTCTCTCTCTCTCTCCCTTTCGCTGTCTTCTCCCTCTCCTTTTATGCATTATGGTTTGCAATACAGGTAACTAAGAGGTCATTTTGTTTGTTCAGGGTGTTCATTATTTTTATCAGGAAGGTACAGCTGGAGTAACTTTTTGTTTTAACTAGGTAGTAGTGTGTTCCGCCTTGCATGAGTCCAAAATGAACTACAGCTTTTCATCTCTTTCTGGATTTATTTATGGGTCTCTAAAGCAAGGCCAGTAGAAGAGCTTACACGGTGACACTGGAGTTGGTTCACGGGGGGTGACGGGGAGGCTTTCAGGAGTATAGGGAAGTGGGGGGACGTAGCCCGTCCTGAGCCCAAGAAAGCCTGGAGATTTCAGTCACAAAACCTGCACACCTGAATTTTCAGCAGGTTAATATCTTGGTGCCACAGGGGCCCCATGGTAGGAACCCAGAGCCCGCACTCTGCTGTGGCACCAAGTTGGACCCAAAGAGTCCAAGTTTCGGTCACTTTAAAACTCTGCTGCTGCCCATAGCGCCAAGAGGCCAAGTGCTACAGTAGATCCGCCAACTGGTGGCCACGCCATTACATCCTCATGAATTCCCCTGAGGCGACACTCCAAGGGCGGGCGATCAGCCTGTTTCATTTAATGGTGCTCTCCCTGAAACAGAATATCTCAGGAGCGCCCAGACTCATGCCGAAATCGGATGACACTGTCGGCTGTTCAGAGCACTGAGAGCTACCATCCCTCTGCCAGTTTTGCCACGTGCCCCTGCACCGCCACCCTCTGGACCAGAACCGCGACTTATTTTAACAGCTCCAGTTGCTGAGGGTGTGCCAAGAATTGTCAATATCCCCTATTTGGGGGGACCTTATCCACCTAAATTCAGTCTGATTGGAATCCACACACTTCATAGGCAACATATTTGAAAGTGTTCAGAAATGATATCCAATAGGCCACAGGCATAAGCCCTGATGAGGTCGCCAGACCCAAGGTATCTAGGTATCCCTAGAGCTCCTAAGTAGATAAGGGGGTGTCCCCCTGCCCTATGGAACCTAAGAGCAGCTCCATCGCCCTGAAACATGCCCAGTCAGGCTATACCTTCAAGGCAAATAATTCTTTTCAAGAACTGGAGCGGGGGGGGGGGGGGGGGGGGAGGCGTCAGGATGGTGCAGGCATACTTTTGCTGTCTGGACTGTGCTTGGGGGAAGAGTATCCTGCCCCAAACTGGCTCTGATTATTAGCCCCACAGGAAGCAAGAACTCAAGCCCTCTAGCCATCAGAGCCAGGTGATCTGGCTATAGGGACTGAAGCCACCACAGAAACTGGGGCACCAGACACCTGTAAGACCGCCCCTCTTTGATGCTAAAGTGTGGCAGAGAGAGTACATCATTCCGACTCCCGGAGCTCCCTGGGGAGACTTCCTAGCAGTTCTTACCAGTCTGTTTAGTAAGAGGACTCTCCTCAGGTTGCAGGTAATGTGAAGTCTGACAGAAAACAGATCTTGTGTCCATTGCTTCTTGCTTTGCCTGAAGCCAATCCCCACTGGCCTCCAAATCCAAGCTACATGGTGGTGTCCCTTAGCAGCCGCTACAAAAATCAGAGCAGACCAAAGATATAAGCTCTTTTTAGAGAGCACAGAGATTGTGCTGGACAGCCTCTCTCCCCAGAAAAAGACTTCCACAGGTCAAAAGTACGCTCAAGCCTCAGGCCACTCTGTCAGAAACGGCAAATAGGCCTCTCTGCACAGAAACTGGTGTTGGGTTTTAGTCTCCCGTCTGTGAGGTACCATGTGAGTATAGCAGCCTACCAAGAACTCTCTCTAGCCCTAGAAACTCAAGCCTCTCCCAGAGCCAGGCAATCAAGTTTTCCCTGAGGTGCAGACTCAAAAGTGAGACACCTGACATATAAAAACTAGGGTGTGTGTGTGTGTTTACACACACAAGATACTGGTGCTTGTGAAGTGTGGCTGAGAAGCACAACGCACAACTAGAAAATAAAGATAGCACCCAACCAGTGACACTCTCAAAGACCACTGGCTTTACCTGGGCTGAGAGAAAGAAAATGGTGCTGGTCAGGGCCCCTTTCTCTAGAGGCTATCCCCACCAATCCCTGCTGCTATTTCCAGAACAGCAGATAATTTTACAGGAAATATGGGTTCTTTGCAGATGGCCCTGGGTTTTTACCCTATATCTTAGAATTAAATTCTTTTGGGAGCCATTTGAATAATTTCTCAGTTTGCTACAGCTTTTGGATCTCATGGATGTGAATCTTGTGGACTTTCAAAGATGGGAGCTTGTCTCTTCAGTACAGATCTTAAAAGCTGGGCGCCCTGATGAGTGTAGCAGGCACCTTTTCCTTCTCAGGGACAAGCGTGCAGTGTGTAAATTTCCTAGCTGGTGTGAGTCACCATGCTAGGGAGTATATTCATGGTGAGGCTGCTATCTCAGTCTCTTCCATCCACAATCATGTAGCCCTGCTTTGCACTGACAGACGTGAACATGTTTAGTTTTCAGAAAATGTTTAGTTTTCATCTGCTTCAGAGGAAACTCCCTTATATAGCAGTGGATTCAGTGTGTGTTAGAGTTAAGACTCTTCATTTGTGGCCATTTTTGATCCTAAACCCCATTTCTTTCATCATAAGACAATGATTTTGTATCCAATGTGTATTTTATCTGATTAAACTCTACAGAACTTAATTGCAATAGTGTTTATCGAATGTAACTAATGAATTAAATTATATTAACCAGATAGATAGTTTATAAAATGATAGAAGACCAAATTTATCCACTTTTTAAGAAGACATGACAAGGGCTGAAGAGACAGTACAGCGGGTAGAGCGTTTGCCTTGCACACGGCTGACCCGAGTTTGATTCCCAGCATCCCATATGGTCCCCTGAGCACTGCTGGGAGTAATTTCTGAGTGCAGAGCCAGGAGTAACCCCTGTGCATCGCCGGGTGTGACCCAAAAAGAAGAAAAAAATGACAACCAAATTTCTAGTTCTTAATTGGATTTCCCCTTTAAAAAATTTTACCTTACTAACTATATGTTGTTATATTTCAGAGAGTTGGCTGGTGATTGACCCATTCTGTCTTGCTAGTACAGTCTTTGGACTAGCAAGGAAAATTTGTTACTTGAAAAGCTAATAGAAGCTTCATTCATATTTAAGACTCAGAGAAAACGTTGACTCAACTTTATTAGGTATTAGACCCATGAGGGAGAAAAAGTGGGTTTAGCGGTTTTAAAATGAGAAGAAATCAGATATTCTAGCAAAAAGCAACAAAATTATTAACAATTCAAACTACTAAGAAGTCAAATCTTAAATATAAGCTTAAACAGTTAACAAAGCTCCTCATTTACAGAAATATATCTATTAATCATAAGAGGATAGTACGCTGTTATTAGAAATAATGAAATAGAGTTAGGAAAGGAGATATGTTAGATGTTTTAGGAGGGTGGAAAATGCATCTGAACGTGAAATGACAGGAAAGATGCAAAGTGATATGATAGGTGAGGGGAAGGTGTCAGGGCTTTTTTTTTTTTTTTGAGCAGATGCATGCTATGACAAGGACGAAACTGGATTAATGATGATGGGTGATGTAGAAATCATCACGGTTGAATAAAACTTTGATAACTAGAGTGAGTTTCAAAATGGGAAATAATTTTCCTTCTATTTGATAAAAGTAAAGGCTCTGTCCTCTGCTTCAACAGCTAAAGAAACTAGGGTTTGGACCTGTTTTTCCCTTTTCATGGCTGTATTTTATAACTCCACGACATGTACCATTTCTTAAGCCGTTTCCGTTTTGGATTGCACTGTTCCCTTATTTTTGGAAAGTGTTTCTGTGTGTCCCTATGAAACTTCAGGCATTGAGGAAGACGGCTTCATCAGAATCCCGGTCCTTGCCGCTGTCTTCACTGGGCGGGCACTCGCCCCCGCTGGGGGACCGGCAGCTCAGATCCTCCACCCCAGACTCTTGATCGCTGTTGCCTGACAAATCAGGATCGGAGCTTTTCAGATTGTCTTGGGTAAGAATCAGAGCGGAATCCTCATCACCTTGGGAAGGGCTCCTGGCCGGAAAAGCTTTCAGATTCCCACTGTAATCCTGGGGAGTGTTGGCCGTGCTGTTGTCTGAGGTAGGAAACCCTGAGTGTTTGCTGGCTTCACTTGGCTTGCTCTTCACTGTAGTGCAGTTTAACTGGACTTTTTGGATTTTTTCCATCCTCTAAAAAATAAATGAAGAGTTTTCAGGGGGAAAATCATAAATAATTCACATTTTTGTATATGCCTTTAGTGGTCATTCCCTTCCAGCCAGATTTATAATGATGAGCACAAGGGATGAGGTGGTCCTGGTTTCAAAGCTAGATCTTATTGCTTTAGAGAAAACAAATTCTGTGAGGTTGATGTTAATATCCACCTTCTTAATGATTATACAGACTTCCTATAAATGCAATAATTGTCACATAGATAAAGCAATCAATAGTCATCCATCTTTCTATACACAGATGGTTTCTCTGAGTTCAAAATACGTAATTTTTTACAGAAGTAAATGACTTATTATTTATTTATTTATTCATTTATGCTTTTTGGGTCATACCTGGTGATGCACAGGGAATTACTCCTGGCGGTTCTCAGGGGATCATATGGGATGCTGGGAGTCAAACCCTGGTTGACTGCATGCAAGACAAATGCCCTACCCACAGTGCTATCACTCCAGCCCTCAGAAGTACTTATTATTTAATAATTAAAGAGAAGTGCCACCTAACATAAAACTCATTCTTTTAAAGTGTACAATTCAGTAGCTTTAGTCCACTTACAACGTTAGGCAACCATCTACTAATTCTGAAGTATTTCCATGATTCCTAAAGAAAGCTCCTACTGTCAGCAGTCACTTCCCATTCAAGCTTCACAGCTCCTAGCAGTCCCAACTCTATAGCGACATTGGGACATTCTGTGTAAATGGAATTTATATATTTTTTATACTCTGTGGTCTTTCATGTCTGATTGCTTTCACTTCGCTTCTACTCTCAGGCCTCATCTGCCATGCGGTTTGTATGCACATCATTCTCTTTTATGGCCGAATAATATTTCATTTTATGACTGTCCCACATTTTGTTTCTTTATCAGGTGAGATATCTGAATTATTCAAAATGCACTTTACAGTTTCCTTGGTGTCATCAAGGAAGGTATAATAAATTCAACTATTACATATTCAAAACAAACTCATGTACAAAAGTGCAGTGTTGCGTTGTGAGAAAAAAAGAATAAATACATGTGCAACTATAAAAATACAACTTGGAATATAAGACTAAGAATGAGTGTAATGCAGTGGTGGTGGGACTGGTGTTGGAATATTGAAAGCCTATAACAAATGCATCATGAACAATTTTGTAAACTACTGTGTTTAAATAAAGTAGTCACGGTCACAGTCCTCCCGTTGTTCATCGATTTGCTCGAGCGGGCCCAGTAACGTCTCCATCGTGAGACTTGTTGTTACTGTGTTTGGCATATCGAGTACGTCACGGGGAGCTTGCCAGGCTCTGCCGTGCGGGCGAGAGACTCTCTCGGTAGCTTGCCGGGCTCTCCGAGAGGGGCGGAGGAATCGAACTCGGGTCGGCCATGTTGGCTGCGTGCAAGGCAAACACCCTACCGCTGTGCTATTGCTCCAGCCCTAAATAAAGTAGAAAAAATAATTTTTAAAAGAATGAGTGTAGGCATTAGAAAGAGGCATGCATTATTTAAGAAGATGGGTGATATTGTTAGAGAAAAGAAATTAATGAGTTTAGGGAGGAAAGGGCAATTTCATAAAACTGAAGAAACCAAACCTGGACGTGCTGGTGAGGGGTAGAGTAATTCTGGTAGGAGAGACAGTAACAGAAGTACAGAGTAAGAAGGTGACAGAGTACACAGAAGCAGAGGACAGGGACGGAAGGTGGCTCGTAGGGCTGGCTACTCGTGTCATATGCTGGAGCCTCATGGTTTCCCAAGAACTGCCAGACATGGCCCCAAAAAACAACGGGAGCAGAAAATAGTTCGATTTGAGCAAAGGGGACAGTGAAGAACAAAGTTGAAAGGTAGACTACAATGTCAGGATAAGAAATCTTAACTGTTATAAAGAAAAAGAAGTAACTTTCATTGTATAGTACATTCTCTATCTTGGAGGATTCTCACACTAAACATGAGTTATGCACTTCCAACTTTTCTTCTGGAAAAATAAATCCCTTGCTTTTGATTCACACCCAACAGTATTTGGGGGCTACTCTTGGCTTGGTGCTCAGAGGTTACTTTCAGCTGTTTTGGGTTTGGGTGGGGAAGTATGTGATGCCAAGAACTGAATCCAGGTTTCCTGCATGCAAATCATGCACTCAGCTCATAGAGCTCTCTCTCCAGCTCTATAAGTAAAAATTTATTAACAATATTGTAAGCAAAAAAAAAATTAAATCTGAAATAGCTTTATGGAAAACTGGCTGTCTTTAGAAGGAACTTGCTTAAAAATCACGAGTCATCTTTGAATGGCAAAAGGCCTATTCTTTTCTACCATGAGTCCAGGACTATAAAAACCTAACTCCTGCCTCCTTTTAGTTCTCTATGTTCATTTATTCAACTAAGGTATGGTACTGGTACTCCATCAGAATTCTCCATCAGAATCTCAAGGTTTGTATCCAGACATCAAGATTTTTTTTTTTGTCTGTATGAGGTGGTGATTTGAGGTAGTGTTAAGAACTATTTCTCTGATAATTCAAAATTAAGGCAGAGCTTTCCATATATTCCAGAGGTATTTTGTAACACCCTGCAGCTTTATAATAAGAACAAGATTTATGCCTGGTTTCGAAGATTCTCAAAGTTAACAGTTTAAAAGTTCTACTTTTGTTAACATCCATTTGACTCCCAAATGAACTTTGCAATCTGAGAGCCAAGATTTCACAAAAATTTATAACTGAGAGGCAATGTGTCCCAATAATGTAACAAAAGGAATTAACCAAACCAAAAGAATTAACCTCACTAGTTGTCTATAAATAAACATCTCTGCTGCTGGAGTCCCAAAAGTGTTAGGCACCATTCTCCCATCCCAACTCACCCTACGGTGATTTCATTTTAATTTCCAGTGATTTTTCTGCCCGGAGCAAGGAGCTAAGCAGACTTTGTTTTAAACTCAACATGTGATATTTTACTATCCTTCACTTTAAACACTCACCATTCTGAAAGCAACAAATTGGAAGCTCACTTCCAGTCACATGTATTTAAAAACTATAACGAAGAAGTTTATTGGCAATTTTTCAGCCTTTATCTTAAAACTTCTTTTCCCCTACAATATATGATTTTGGTTGAGGAGTGAAGGGATGTGGTTTGAGGAAGCAGTTTTCATCTTATTGCAAATAACACCTCAGTTCAGAATTCAGGTCTGGTAAACAGGAATAGGCTGCGAACTATTGAGCAACTGAGTTACAAGAGATATTATGGGGTTTTAAATAAATGACGCAGAATAAACCGGAAACACAAGTGAAAAGGCACTACAGTGAGGGGCAAGAAAGACTTGAGAGTCAACAGTCACATGTGTGCATGAACTAGACTACTCTTTAACCCGGTATAAAGAAATAAACTCAAATGGGTTAAAGACTATATAAGAAATGATGAAGTAGTTAAAAGAACATGGGAGAAATGCTCCATAGTGTTAGCATTAGAAATAGGATTTTTGACCCCAAGAGCAACGAAATAAAACAAAAGACAAACAATGGGGATTAAACAATGGGGATTGCAAAGCTGTTGTTTAAGGAAAATATGGGCTGAGGAAATGGCTTAACAGGCTGGAGCACATGCTTTGCATACAGAAGGATTCGAACCCGGGCACCTTGTCGTCCCTGAGCACCACTGGTACGCCCTCTCCCCAAAATATATTAAATATAAATGATGCAAAGACAAACTATAGAATACTTGTACATCATACATCTGATAAAGAATATCCAAATTATATAAAGAACTCATTTTTCCTAACAATAAATCCCAGTGCCAAAAAAAAGAACAGAATGTTCTAATTAATGCTTCTTTAAAAATGATACACAGATGTTCAAAGGGCATATTAAAAGATGCTTACTATCACTGTTTATCAGGAATATGCAAATTAAAACTGCATTGACCTTGCATACATGAGACCTGGGTCCACTCCTCACCACCACCAACCGCCAAGAAACAAAAAACAGTGAAATGTCGCCTCAGCCCAGTGAGAATGTCTTATATCAAATGGAACAAGAGTGGCTGGAGAGATAGTACAGCAGTTAAGGCTTTGGTGGCCAACTGAGGTTCCATCCCAGAGGCCACATATGGCCTCCTGAGCACTGTTGGGTGGACTGGCCCAAAACACACCCACTCAAAAAAAAAAAATACAGACGTTGAACAGGGTGTGGAGAAAGAACCCTTGTATACTGCTGGGGGAATAAAATTTGCGTAACTATTTTCAGAAGTGCTATGGAGTTTTCTCAAGAGGCTATCAACATAGTTATCAAATACCTCTTCTGGGTATTTGAAGAATACAAAAACAACGTAAGTTCTATCTATCACAGTGAAGTGCCTGTGAGGTGACTGAACATGTACCTTTATACCACAGAGTGTATTTCTTTTTTAAAAACAGGATTTTGCCATTGGCTGCAAAATGGAAGAATTGAGAAAGGGTTGTCCGAAATGATGTAAGTCAGAAATAAAAAGACAAGTGATAGATTTCACACATGTGCAATATGGAAATGTGAAAATGGACAAAATAAAATTACAGAAATATGACAATATGACAGTGTAATGAAGGTTGCCTGAGGGAAAGAAAAGGACTAATAGTTGAATGTTTGGAGAAAGGGAGGTATGAAAAAAAATGCTGGGGTGTGTGTGTGTGTGTGTGTGTGTGTGTGTGTGTGTGTGAAATAATATTTTTTTAAAAATCTGAGTTTGTTATTGATCAATTAGAGTGGTAATTGTCAAAGTTATGTAATTAAAAAAAGTGATTCTAGCCTTCCTGGCCAAGAGGTAGGGAATCATAAAAGTATCTTTACAGTATCAAATGATAAAAGTCTGGTTAGTAGTCCCTTGGCCTGTGCTTGGGTAGGAGCTCACCTAGCGTGGCTGTGCTAAGGCTGTCCCCTGGCTGTCCCCTGGCTAGTCTGCACAGCAGCCATACTGCCTCACTGCCCAGAGCCAGAGCCATGAGAGACTTTCATGGAGCAGTGCCCATCAAGAAACAATAACTAATAACTAAGGAAGTCAATGAAGAGTAGGGCGCCTTACATCTTCCAGGGCCTCGAGCTCTTCCTCTAGTTGCTGGGTCTCTTCTTTCACCGCCATCAGGTAATCTGTGACTGACTGCCGAGGCTGCAGCCCCTTTTCAAAGCGGTTATACATTCCACTCCAAAATCTGGAAAAGAGACCAGAGCTTTGTGATACCATCCTATCATGATCGGTAAATGGAAAGTCTCAGATCTCCTGGGGTATGGTTAATTCCACAATCGCACAGTTCTACTGATGTCCGAGTGCAAGTCACAGACTTGAAAAACCTCTTACTTAAGGTAATAATTTCATATTCATGTTTCCCTTTTCATGGGTCACTAAACTAGTTCCACAGAGAGTGAGTTCATGGAGCATCAACTTGTAGGTACATATGGCACTGGATTGGATTACAAGAGATATGTTATTCTATAATAGACTGAGGTGTTTTCATTTGGGGTACTTAGAAAATAGCATTTTGATTTGAAATAAACTTAGAAATCTCAGTGGTTATATTAAATGTTTGGCAAGTGAAGCTTTTTAAATTCAAGATTTTATTTTTACCAAAAAGGAAAATTGAAAACTGGGGCCAGAGCTATCGTATGAGTAGGGTGTTTGCCCTGTACCTGGCAGATCCCTATACAGGTTTGATCCCTGGTACCTCATATGGTCCCCTGAACACCTACAGAAGTGATCCCTGGGTGCAGAGTAAGGAGTAAGCCCTGAGCACTGTGAGGTCAGTAATAAATTAGTTGCAACACAAGTTATTGTGCTACGTCTCATTACCTTTCAGAATTACTACTTAGAAACCAGTAAGTTTTTTATTTTTATTTTAGTAAGGTAAAAGGTAAAGGCCCTCCCGTTGATCGTCGATTTGCTCGAGCGGGGCCAGTAACGTCTCCATTGGAGACTTTGTTGTTACTGTGTCTGGCATATCGAATACTCTCGGTAGCTTGCCGGGCTCTCCGAGAGGGGCGGAGGAATCAAACTCATTTTAGTATGATAGAACTAATTAACATTCTGCTCTGAAATTCAGAGGAAAGGGGCCAGAATGAGTAAGGAGCTTGCGTTCCATGCAGCCAACCAGGTTTGATTCCCTGCACCCTATATGGTCCCCTGAGCAGCTCACCTCTAAAACCGATTCCTGAGTGCAGAGCAGGATTAAGCCCTGAGCACTGCCGGGTGTGGTCCCAAAACAAAAAAACAAAGATAACCAAACAAACAAAATAACCCGCAGAACATCAGAAGGAAATAATTAGGTTGGAATTATTCAGAACAGAAATTGAGGAAGAAAAGTTAAAAAGAAGAAGGCATGATGTCTGTGCTGGAGATGGGCAGAGACAGAATGTGTTTTCTCAATTTATACTGTTTTGTCCATCTTTTTTGTTGCCCTCCAAGTCATGCATGCGACACCAGCCCTGAGAAAGTGCCCAAGGATAAAATGTAATATACAAGGATCGAAGAGATAGGGCCAACGCAGGTTGAATCCCTGCCATTTCATATGGTTGCCTGGGTTCCATCAGGAGTGATCCCTGAGCACAGAGTCAGGAGTAAGCCCTGAACACTGCCAAGTATGACCAAACCACAAAAATTAATTAAATAAAAAACATAATAAATTAAGTAAATAAATGTTGAGGGCTGGAGCGATAGCACAGTGGTAGGGCGTTTGCCTTGCGCGCAGCCAGCCCGACCGAGCTGGGTTCGATTCCTCCGCCCCCCTCGGAGAGCCCGGCAAGCTACCGAGACGTATTCAATATGCCAAAACACAGTAACAACAAGTCTCAAAAATGGAGACGTTACTGGGCCCACTCGAGCAAATCGATGAACAACGGGAAAACAACAACAGAACAAGTAAATAAAAATTAAGTAAAAACTAAAATTTTACATGCTTACCTAGTAGAATATATAGGCTGTCACTCTTTTCACCCCACCCCAATCTACAGTCCTAAAATAATTTTATTTTACTGGGAAATAGTTCCAGCAGGATTGAGTAGAAAAAGGGAAGCTGTATCATAATAATTACCTAAGTGATTGTGAAATGTGATTCCACATTTAATATATAAGGTTCTTGCTTATTCAATTCCCCACCATTATAATTTAAAATATATAATTTTTACAAAACATCAACATGCAAAGATAATACCATTTATGGGGTCAAAGAAAGGGGGGAGAAAACACATTAAAAATACCAGATTGTGGGGCTGGAGCAATAGCACAGTGGGTAGGGCATTTGCCTTGCACGCAGCCAACACGGCCGACCCTGGTTTGATTCCCAGCATCCCATATGGTCCCCCGAGCACCACCAGGAGTAATTCCTGAGTGCATGAGCCAGGACTAACCCCTGAGCATCACCAGGTATGACCCAAAAAAAGCAAAAAAAAAAAAAAAAAAAAACCAGATTGTATATTTAACTATCTTTCTCTGGTGGGTTTTGGATCCAAACAAGCCTTATTTGTGTTATTTGGGAAGAGAGGTGTCAAGGGATATGAGATTTAGGACATCATCTGTCTGTGCTCAGGGATCATAACCAGTGAGACTTGCAGAACTCTATGGGGTGTTGGGGATCGAACCAAGGCCAGATGAGTACAAGGTAAGCACGTGACCTGCTGCTACCACTCTGCCCCCACCCGCCAAAAGCTTAAAGCTCAATGTTTCATAGCAGTCAAGCCCCAAATCAAGTTTCACCACCGTATTCCTACTTAGGTCCTGAAGGAGTTATACATACTTGTACATAAAGTTGCAGGGAGTTGTGGGAAGACGAAGGGTTCCTTGAGTCTGGCTGTGATCAGCTCTGAAGAGAGGATTCATGTAGTCGGCCCGATTCTTCCACAGGTGAGCCCATAAAGAATATGTTCGTTCTTGAATTCTATCAAAAAAAAAAAAAAAGAAAGCCTGAAAAGGACCAATCTAGTTCATGCAGAGTTGGTAAGTCATACTAAAAGATGGAAAGAGAACAACAGTGTTATCTGAACATTGGGTGTCCTGATCTACAGTCAGGAAATTTGCCATCTTTGTGGCTTCATATTATTGTATGATTATCTCAACTTCTCTGTAGTGTGTACCCACTTTAACAAGAATTTTAAATCATCTGATTATAAAATTAAAATTCTCTCTAGAGGCCAGCCACACATGCTAGGGGGAAAGGGAGCTCAGATAGAGAAGGGAGCACCAAATAAAGGATGTTGGAAGGTCCTCCCAGGATGGGAGAAGCATGCTGAAAGTAGACTATAGACCGAACATGATTGCCACCCATTGCCTCCTTTGCAAACCACAACACCCAAAAGGAGAGAGAGAACACAGAGGCAAGGGGGGATGGGGGGGTGGGAGGGATACTGGGATCCGTGGTGGTGGGAAATGGGCACTGGTGGAGGGATGGGTATTTGATCACTGTATGATTGAAACCCAAGCACAAAAATTTGTAAGTCTAAAACTGTACCTCATGGTGTCTCACTAATAAAAATAAAAAAATAAATTCTCTCTAAATTTTGTGGGTTCTCTCCTACACCGTCCTACAATAGCGATTAAACATTTGTTTGCTGTGAACAGAAAGCTTCACATGTTTTCTCTCACTCAATCCCCACTGAATTCCTATGAGATGTGTCCTCATAGATTATGAACTGGGGTTCAGTGAAATTAAATCATTTACCAAAGTCTAATAACTAGCAAGTGGAATGGCCAGCAGACTGACTGGGTTAGGGCAATGACTCACAAAACTCGGAAAACATGCACTAGTAAGGGATGTGTTTTGCTGCCTTAATTCAGTACTATTTCCCAGGACTCACACTTTAAGTTCCTTGGAGAAAGCAGGCTTATAGTCACTTAAAAAAATTGTTTTCTTTCTGTTCAGGTTAAAACTACCGGAGTCTACTTGTACTAATCATTTCCAAAATTAAAGCCGGTACTGAAAATCATTTTCATTGGGATAGCAGGAGAAATAGTACGTACAGTAGTAGTTAGGGCATCTGCTTGCAGGCAGCTGTCCAGGTTTGATCCCCAGCATCCCATATGGTTCCCTGATTAGCACAGCGGGTAGGGCGTTTGCCTTGCACGCAGCCAACATGGCCAACCCGAGTTCGATTCCTCCGCCCCTCTCGGAGAGCCCGGCAAGCTACCGAGAGTATTCGATATGCCAGACACAGTAACAACAAAGTCTCCAATGGAGACGTTACTGGGCCTGCTCGAGCAAATCGATGATCAACGGGAGGGCCCCTGATTACCATCAGGAGCAATTCCTGAGTGCCGAACCAGGAGTAAACCCTGAACATTGCTGGGCATGCCCCCAAAACAAACACAAATTTGTATTTTTACTAATTTCCAATTCATAAGTCAATGCTACTAGGGGCTTTATTATCATCATTTTTATTATTATTATTATTATTGTTTTGGTTTTCTGTGCCATATCTGGCAGTGCTCAGAACTGATTTCTGGTTCTGTGCTCAGAGATCACTCCTGGTGGGGCACATGATTTTCCTGGCATTAAATTGGGGTCAGCCCACAACACCCAAAAAAAGAGAGAGAACACAAGGGATTGCCCTGCCACAGAGGCAGGGTGGGATGGTGGGGATGGGGGTGTGGAGGATATTATCCATGGTGGTGGAAAATGGGCACTGGTGGAGGGATGGGTATTTGATCATTGTATATTCGAAACCCAAGCACAAAAAACTGTAAATCTACAACTGTACCTCATGGTGTTTCACTAATAATAAAAAAAAAAAAAAATTCAGGTCAGCCATGTGCCAAAGGCCCTAACCACTGTAATACCACTCTGGGCTCTTAAGTGCTTTATTTTAAAATCCACATTTCATGTACTTTTTCCTTCTGGATAAAAACAGAGTTTGGGGATGGAGCAATAGCACAGTGGGTAGGGTGTTTGCCTTGCATGAGGTCGACCCGGGTTTGATTCCCAGCCATCCCATATGGTCCCCCAAGCACCGCCAGGAGTAATTCCTGAGTGCATGAGCCAGAAGTAACCCCTGTGCATTGCCAGGTATGACCCAAAAAGCAAAAGCGAAAAAAAAAAAAGAGTAGAGTTTAGATCTATTAAGAGTGCTTTGGTTTTCAAACTCGATTTCCCAGTTACATCTGTAAATCTTAGGATAGATACCAAAAGTATATATTTCTTTTAAATGTAAAAACTCACTTTATCTAACTCAAGAAAATTTCCTTTCAATATTAGTGTCATATCTACCAACCTATCTCTGGATATTAGGCAGAAACTGGGGCAAATGAGCTTATTTCTTCAGTCAGTTGACAATATTAAATCATTTTGAAATGATGCCAGGAAAAAGAAAAGAACTTTGATTTATCTGTATAGATTTGGGGCTGAAACATTCTTGCAAATTATGAAAGGCATCTGAAATTCTCAGTCGCCAAAATCATTTGAGAAAATGAAATAGAAAACTTACTTGAGTTCTTGTCTCTCCTTTTGGCTGTTACACAGGAAATTTCCAAACTGGCAGGAATAAATGTGATGCTGAATGTGAATTAGAAATCTCTCGTTGAATTCAAAGGCACAGGGAAACTGTTCCATTAGCTGCCACACACACTCAATGAACTGGTCGATAACTGGAGAGATCTCCTTTGGATCACCGTCTAGATTTCCATATCTATAAAATGAAGTATTTGAGACTTTGAATTTTAAGTTAGAAATGCATCAATGCAAAAGCCATCATAAAAGCAACCTAATTCATCAATAAATCTTGTCTTATGAACTCAGAATGCACAGTGGAAAAATAACTTCTTAAATTCTAATTTCAAGAAAAAATAGAGGAGGGTTAGAAGAGAAAGGACCTGTTGACATAGTTACACAAGAACATATTAGTGGCTACAAATAAAATCCAAAATACTCCATGGGCAAAGAGCATTATTTCAGATTCTAAAATATAGCAAAATTTCTGAAATATTACCATTGTTTTAATCAGTGGCTAGTTAGTGGGAAAGCAGGAAATTATGTTTAAGAAACTAGTTTCATTTGAAAACTATTATAGTTTCTCTTTTCCTATGTTTTACTCGAGAAGGGAAGAAGAATAAAACCTGAAAAAATAATGGTTTTATTTATCCCAAGTTTCTAGGGATGTTTATTTCTAGAGCAAAATTAATACTTGTCTTAATGTTTAGATCCACATAACCACATATTTCCATATGGTATCTCCCTTATTTGTTTTTTTTCCATGACTGTATCAGAAAGTTTTTCCTCATATTTATATTTATTTTTAAATAAAAACTGGCTGGTTCTAGATGTTAAACAGATTTATTCATCCTGCAACTTAGGTTAATAAAATTATATTGTGTAAGAAACTAGTATGTCAGGGGCTGGAGTGATAGCACAGCGGGTAGGGCGTTTGCCTTGCACGCAGCCAACATGGCCGACACAGGTTCGATTTCCAGCATCCCATATGGTCCCCTGAGCACTGCCAGGAGCAATTCCTGAGTGCATGAGCCAGGAGTAACCCCTGAGCATCGCCGGGTGTGACCCAAAAAGAAAAAAAAAAAGAAAGTAGTAAGTCAATGTATCTTAATTAGGGGCTGGAGCAATAGCACAGCGGGTAGGGCTTTTGCTTGCACGCGGCCGACCCAGGTTCGGTTTCCAGCATCCCATATGGTCCCCTGAGCACCGCCAGGGGTAATTCCTGAGTATAGAGCAAGGAGTAACCCCTGTGCATTGCCGTGTGTGACCCAAAAAGCAAAAAAAAAAAAAGTCTGTACGATTACAATTATCCAGCTAAGTCATTATATCCAAATTCCTTCAAGAAATTTACAAGAAATTTCCTTAGACATTCAACATTGACAGCTTAAAGTCATGCTTTAGCTTTAAGATGGGAAGTAACATGGGAATATCGGTGAAGATTCTGGAGCACATGGGTAGTGACACCAAACCCAAACTGTCATCAGGATGTAGTAGGGAGGGGCCAGAGCAATAGTACAGTAGGGAGGGCGTCTGCCTTGCAGAAAGCTGACCTGGGTTCAATCCTGGGTATTCCATATGGTCCTTCTAGCCCCACCGGGAGTGATCCCTGAGTGCAGAGCTAGGAGTGGACCCTGAGCACCACTGGGTGTAGCTCCCAAACCAAAATTAATAAATCAACGGGAGAAGGAGGTGTGGGGGATACATGAGGATGAAGGTCAGACCAGAAGTGGCAGAGGGAAAGGAGTAGATCGTGGCCATTTCAGTGGTGGTGTGCAACCACTTTGAACATCAATACTACACATTCAAAAACCATTGTAAGCGCATTATATAAACTACAAGAGTACAGTTTTGTAAATCAAAAATGTATAGCAGGAGGAAGAGAAAGCTGATATTCTCTAGGTTAATTAAGAAAAAGCATTCTCTCTCTCTTCTGGAAAATTGACCAATTCATTCTGTTCCCAAAATACCAAGAATAATCAGATTGGAAATTCTGGAATATAATGTATACAGCAACGTTTCTGAAATTTGAATATTTTTGAAATCACACACAACACACACACACACACACACACATTCACACACTCTTTTTTTTTCTTTTTGGGTCACACCTGGCAATGCACAGGGGTTACTCCTGGCTCTGCATTCAGGAATTACTCCTGGCAGTGCTCGGGGGACCATATGGGATGCTGGGAATAGAACCCGTGTTGGCCGCTTGCAAGGCAGACGCCCTACTGCTGTGCTATCGCTCCAGCCCCCACACACACTTTTTTAAAAACAAAGTTATTTTCTCTCCATTCCTTCAAGTGGGGAAAAGTGTTTTAAATCTTAAACATTCAACACAATAGGTTTTTAATTCTTTCTTACCTATGATTAAATTTATGACCAAAGGAAATCCAGTCCTTTTCAATAAGTACCTGCAGAAGAAAGAATATAAGTATCATAGAAGCAAATGAAGAAAACATAGAGACCATGATCAATAAAATGTAGGATTTCAAATTCTTGGCACAGGAGCACTCTCTCCTCAGACTGCCTGCCCACATCGCGCACTCATCCAGTGCAGCACACCTCAAGGGTTGGAGGTCATTCATAGGAATAAAGGAGATGATAGATGAAAATGTAAGCACTCCCACAGAGCTTTCTACGAGCTGCTCATTTTTCTTCATACATGATCACATACATTTCTTACATTTTTTTATGCACAGTCTCATTTCATTATGGGATAGGTATCTCCTTCATTCTCGTCTTACAGCAGATTAAATACCTAAAATCTTGCAACTCGGTAGTGGTGGAAATTACCTCTTAGTTCCTACTGCTCCAAAGCTCATGTCTCCCCTCCCTTTTTTTTTTTTTTTCATAATTTCTGTTTGTGTTCGTTTGGGGTGAGAGGTCACACCCAGTGGTGCTCGGGGCCTACTCCTGACACTGTATTCAGGAACTGCTCCCTGTAAGTACTTAAGGGGGTCTCTGTGGTGTTAGGGATCAACCCCAGGCCCCCCACATGCAGAGCATGCTTTCAGCTCACTGAGCTCTCTCGCAGTCACAGAGTCCACTTCTTAAATAATATGTTCATTGTTGCCTTTCACTAGAACAATTAAGACTAATCTTTTTATAAGAAACGGTCACGGTCCTCCCGTTGTTCATCGATTTGCTCCCGTTGTTCATCGATTTGCTCGAGCGGGCCCAGTAACGTCTCCATCATGAGACTTGTTGTTACTGTGTTTGGCATATCGAATACATCACGGGGAGCTTGCCAGGCTAGGAATTTTTCCCTGTGATCTTTATTACACACTGAAAGAATTGTAAGAATAATGGATGTTTGGGACCTGAAGTATCTACCCTGCCTTAGAATTTGAGCTAAACTTGGCTTATGATTTCAAATTCTCTGAAGTTTGAAAGTTTTTAGTTAAAATAATAGGATGGAAGTGACAGGGTTAAGGCACATGCTTTGCCTGTCACCAATCCCAGTTCAATAACTGGCATGACATGGTTCCCTGAGCATTGTAGGGTACAGCCCTGGAATCCCTCAAGCACATCTGGATTAGCCGTGAAGGCCCCCCAAACCTACAGAAGTGACCGAATAATCCCCAGCATCACAGGACCTGTGAAGCAGCCCATCCTTAGACCCTCACATTGAACCATTGACCCAGCTGGCCAAGATTTGCTGTAAGAGGCCCCTGGGTCTCCTGAGAACTAACCGGGGTGCCATCCATTCCAAATAAATAAAATAACGAGGAATAAAGTCATCAGCATTACCAGCACATTAAAATTTCCAGAATTTTCTCCTAAAAATATCAATATGGCATGGTAACATTTGCCCTTTACTACTCTGACGTCTCAGGGGGCTGAATCATAGAGCCAAAGGTGGAAAAGGATGGTGGAAATACAGAGGCCCAAGGAAGTGGCAAAAATATCACAGTAACGACGAATTTTCTTGCACTTTCAGAAAAAGGCCCAGGGAAAACAGCTGCATCTTCTCTCTCATCCCAGAAGCTGGCGTTACCTGATCGAGGAGATCTGGCCAGAGCGAGAGTTTATTTGGGCTCCTGTGTCGCTAGTGGTAACAAGGGAGCAGCATGAGCTCAGGATCCACTAAAGCATTTTTACCAAATCGTGGTTCAAGGGGCAGATGCCTAATCATGTTCCTGGTCACTTGGAAGTCCCTTTAAGAAAATGGTAGTAGCTTCATGGGTGTGGTGTTAGAACTATGCGCATGAGAAGCCATCGCGAAAAGTATTTTAGATCAGAGACCCTCAATTAATAAAAAATAAAAATTAAAAAGCAATGTTTTACTCATCAACAGAAAGAGAGAGAAAGAAAGAAAGAAAGAAAAAGAAAGAGAGAGAGAGAAGGAGGGAGGGAGGGAGGGAGGACGGGGGGAGGGAGGGAGGGAGGGAGGGAGGGAGGAAGGAAGGAAGGAAGGAAGGAAGGAAGGAAGGAAGGAAGGAGAAGAAGAAAAAGAAAGAAGGAAGGAAAAAAGAAAGAAGAGAAAGAAAGAAGAGAAAGAAAGAAAGAAAGAAAGAAAGAAAGAGAAGGAAAAATGCTTACTCCAGATGGAATCCCGGTGACCAAGAGCTTCCACAAGCAAGGCCCAGTTATGCGGGTTCCATGCGGGCTGCATGGTGGCAGAGGACCTGGGCTGTTCCTCCCCAGGTCCCTGCCTACCCGGCAGGCTGTAAACACCCACAATTTGCCTCTGGGCACCATCTTAGCACACCAATAGCCCTGGCCCAGAGATTCCCAATTGAATCCCAAAATGGATTGGTGCCATACAGAGATGTGTCTGGAACCCAGTCATTTACAAGAAATTTACATTTACAATTGCGGCCGTGTGAGCTCTCTTGATACTCAAAATGAGCAAAGGAAAATACCTAACATCTGCCCATGATAAGTAGGCTTGAATGGTAGTGGGAAATTTCAAGCAAGACATATGCCCAAAATTAGAGTATTGGGGAAATTGTCTGCCGTAGAGGCAGGGTGAGGACTGAGATGTGGGTGGTGGAAAAATGTGCACTGGTGGAGGGATGGGTGTTCCAACATTGTATGCCTGAATCTTAAACATGAAAGCCCTGTAACTCTATCTCATTGGTGATGCACTATTCACTGACCTCCTCCCATTGTTCATCGATTTGCTTGAGTGGGCACCAGTAATGTCTCCATTGTGAGACTTGTTGTTACTGTTTTTGGCATATCAAATATGCCACAGGGAGCTTGCCAGGCTCTGCTGTGCGGACAAGATACTCTCAGTAGCTTGCCAGGCTCTCAGAGAGGGGCGGAGGAACTGAACCCAGGTCGGCCATGTGCAAGGCAAACGCCCTACCCACTGTGTGATAGCTCCAGCCCAAAATCATTGGTGATACCATTTAAAAAAAAAAAAAAGTAATGTGGAGTTCATGCCCAATTCAATCATCTTAATCAATGGTTCAACAAATAGCAGTACCCCTAAAGTATTAAAATTTAAAAAAGGAAAGGAAGGAAAGAAAGAAAGAAGGAAGGAAGGGAGGGAGGGAGGGAGGGAGGGAGGAAGGGAGGGAAGAAAGAAAGAAAGAAAGAAAGAAAGAAAGAAAGAAGGAAGGAAGAAAGAAAATGGTACCAGCTTAACCAAAGGTTTAAAAGAAGGAAGGAAGGAAGGAAGGAAGAAAGAAAGAAAGAAAGAAAGAAAGAAAGAAAGAAAGAAAGAAAGAAAGAAAGAAAATGGTACCAGCTTAACCAAAGGTTTGCCTTCCCAGGTAACAACATAAATACAGTGCAATTGAAAGAAGTATTTCCCAGGTTGTCATGTTCTTAAACAGATGCAAACTCCAGAAGAGAAGGTATTCATGATTTCTATGGGGGGAGGGGGGAGCAGAAAACACAAAAACAATCAATATTTACTTCCAAGAGATCAGAGGGAGTACAAAAGGTAGGGTGTTTGCCTTGCATGCGGTCAACCTGGGTCCGATCCCTAGCTCCCCATCTGGTCCCCATATATTGTCAGGAGTGATCCCCGGGCACAGGGTCAGGAGTCAGCCCAAGCACCACCACAGGCTGTGGCCCAGAAACAAACAAAGTTCTGTTACACCATTATAAAGAATCGCTTTAAAATTTTAAGCATTGGAACAGAGACATGGCCCAGAGGGCTAGGTGCTTGTCCTGCGACAGCTGAAAACAAACACAATTTTAAAGAGCACAGAATATAAGTTTTACGCATTAAGTGAAAACACTTTTCCCTCTTAAGAACATTCTTCTTTGTGTGCGCAAAAAGTTTCTAGTCAAACTTTTTTCTGAACACTGGTTCTGTTACCGGGCTGGAGCAATAGCACAGCGGTAGGGCGTTTGCCTTGCACACAGCCAGCCTGGCTGAGCCGGGTTCATTCCTCCGCCCCTCTCGGAGAGCCCAGCAAGCTACCAAGAGTATCTCGCACGCATGGCAAAGCCTGGCAAGCTCCCCGTGATGTATTCGATATGCCAAACACAGTAACAAGAAGTCTCAAAATGGAGACATTACTGGGCCCGCTCGAGCAAATCGACGAACAACAGGAGGACAGTGTTTCCGTTCCAAACTCACATGCTACCTCAAACTTGAAAATACACAGAAATAGACAATAAAACCCAATGCATAAACTGCCGGATCAATTTTCTGTTTTTTCCCCAAAATTCACATTTAAATAGTGTTGAGCTGAATTGGTTCCAAAAGCTCAGAAAGTTACCTCATCACTCATCACCTATTTCTCCTTTGCCCGAACTAAGCATGCTGATCTATGAAGAACAGTCAAGTGGATGGAGTGTGTGTGCTGGAGCGTGTGTGCTCGGGGGGGAGGGGGGAGAATGCCCATCACTGCCCGAGGAGGGGAGCGATGGGCAATTCACTCTCCATCCCCACATCGGCTACTCACCATGAAGCCCTTCAGAGTCCGGTAGTGTGGGTCCAGCAGGAGGCTGGCCACAGAGCACACCTGAGCGGTCCTGTCCCAGCCGTCAGAACAGTGAACAAGCACACTCGCGCCTTCATCTGCAATTGCCTAAAATACACAAGATCAGCAGGGCCTCCGAGAAGGGCCACGAAAGGCAAGTGCGCTCATTAGAAGATCTAGGTTTGGCTTGGGCCACTGAGACAGCACAGCTGGTGGGGCATTTGTCCTGCACATGCCTGACCCAGGTTCGAACCCAAGTACCGCATATGGTCCCCAGAGCCCCCACCACTACACCCCCATCCCCCATAAAACAACCATAAACAAAAACAGAACTAGGTTTGGACTTATTTTGACAGAAACGGACCAAAACCCAATACCCAACACCATTAATGCATTTGGTATTCACACCTACCCTAGTATTCACACACAGACACGGCAGTGCTGGTAACAAAAGCTTTTTCTTTCTTTTCCTCTATCCAGATGCCCAGGCCACTTTGGTGAATCCGAAACGGGTTTCCTGCATCTCCCACTACACCTACAACTGTCTCACTTCCCTCCTAAGTTTCCACTCGAAGCCCTCTAAGGCATTGAACTCTGATGCTACGACTGGCCCTCACCATTTCTAAATATGTAAAAGACACAAAACCTGATAAAATTATGAACTTAGGAAAAAAAGGTAACAACTAAGTAATGGACCTGGGGGGGATGAGGAGAGCAGGAAAAACAAAGACAAAATTTATTGCCAAAGGGAGGTGGGGGGGTGAGGGAGAGGGGGTGAGTATGTCCAAAGAGTATAGTAGATAAGGCACTTGCTTTGCATGCAGCTAACCAAAGTTCAACCCTGGGTACCCCGTATGATCCCAGAGCCCCACCAGAGTGATTCCTGAGTACAGTGCCAGGACTGAGTCCTGAGTGCCCAAAAACCAAGAAAAAAAAATCACACAGGGCCACAGAGAGAGCTAAACGTGCTGAGGGCCACAGAGAGAGCTAAACGTGCTGCGTGCATGTTTTGTACGCAGGAAGCCTGGGTTTCACAGCGCAGCAGTACAAATCCCCTAAGTGACACCAACATGACCCCAAGTGCAGAGCCAGGAATTGCCCCTGAGCATTGGGAGGTGCGGACCCAAAACCTAAATTAATGATTTTGTTTTTAAAATAAAAATCATAGCAGTGAGTCTCTGAGGAAAGAATTTTTTTTTTTTTTTGGCTATTGAAAATGCATGTACAGGGGCTGGGGCAATAGCACAGCAGGTAGGGTGTTTGCCTTGCACGTGGCCAACCCGGGTTCAATCCCCAGCATCCCATATGGTCCCCCAACCACCGCCAGGAGTAATTCCTGAGTACAGAGCCAGGAGTAACCCCTAAGCACCACTGGGTGTGACCCAAAAAGAAAGGGGAAAAAAAGTATGTACAATGTTTAGCTGAGTATCCTGATAGTAAACACACGGAGAAACAATATATCCTTCTGAAAACATAGGGATATTATGGCAGTCTGTGTTACTACCTGAATTCTATGTTGTTCTTTAATCTCTCACAGCACCACGGAAGCGCTGCTGGAAAAGACTGATCCCACTTCTGTGGCTCTGACTCTGCGACTCCGTGGCACCCAGCAGAGCGTTAGCACTACAGAAATATTTGTTGGATACACGAGGGACCCGGGGGATAAAGAAGTCATCAAAAAAGGCATAGTTGTCTTCGAGCTATAAACCGGAAAGATTGTTCACAAAAAATACCAAGCAAGGAACTACAAAATATACACTGCATTCCAAAGCAGCCACACGCAGGTGGTAGCAAGCTGTGGCCACAGGAATCCACACCCATGACTGACCAACTGATTGACTGGTTGACTGGGAATGTGGTTTTACAAAGGAAGACGTCTCAGGCAAAGTGACTCAACACCCAGCACACTTGAGTGTTGGCTCCTATAGAAAATTCTTTTCTTACCCAAGACCAAGCTAACTGAGAGAATATTCTGAAAATAGGTGACTCTTGAGCACTGTGCCTCTGACTACTATTAACAGAGCACTGGCTTCTCAAGGGCAAATCCTGTCACCTGAAGGCAAACCTCAGGGCAGTGCAAAGCCGCAGAGCTCCCTGCGGCCAAAGAGGAGGGCAAGGCACAAGGGACAGCTCTGCCCCTTCCTTTATCTTCTCTCCATCACGTACCTTTGCGATGAAGCTTCCAGCGTCCATGATGGCCTTAATGTGCCTCAGCCAGCCGGAGTTCTCCAGACCCCACAGAAAATCACTCATGGAGGGAGATTTAAGTTCACACACTGCAAGATCAAACAAATGCAACCTCTCATTGTACACATTTACTCCAAGTTATACAATGAAACATCTGGAAGACTGAAGATCAATATCCCAGTTTGCTAAAGGGGTTCTAGTGGGCCCTGTGAAGCAATGTTTCTGTATATTATTTTTCCTGGAGGCCACTGTGTCTACTTAGAAATATTATGACTACCAAGTTTAAATCCAAAAATTAAGTTTTTAAAAACTCACTGTCACCATGATAAAGCAGAGATCTATTTCTTCCTCCCACATAATTATTCAGATAACACACATATGCAGATATAAATCTAATATCCCCGATAATCTGTGGTATTATTAACAAACAAAAATTTGCTTGTTTGTTTTGGGGCTACACCTGGCAATAGTACAGCAGGCAGGGTGTTTGCCTTGCACATGGTGGACCCGGGTTTGACCTCTGGCATCCCATATGGTCCCCGAGCACCACCAGGAGTAATTCTTGAGTGCAGAATCAGAATTAAGCAGAGACTCCTGAGCATCGCTGGGTGTGGATCCCAAAAGAAAAATAAAACAAGACAAAAAAAGCTTAATTTATGTGGAAAGGAAGGGAAGAGGTTAACAAAAAGGGGGTAACCGATGGAGAGAGGGAGAAAGAAAGGGAGGTTTTTTTTAAAAAAAAAAAGAAGGAGGAAGAGGGGAGAAAATCACACATAATCCCATTTGCCCAAGCTATCCTGCTTCTTCCTTCTAAAATCCATTAACAATCTAAGATGGATTTTGTTCCTTTACTACATACTTATTTGCTGTGTGATCTTGGACAAGTTGTGCAACATCTCTGTGCTTCAGTTTAATCAGCAGTAATATCTCTTCAACTATTATATATTTGTACTCAAATACTTTACATTCTCATTTATTTTGGTTTTTAGGGCAACGCCAGAGGTGCTCAAGCTACCTGCACAGGTTGCTTGGGGACCAGGCACTGCTGAAAACCAAATCTGGGTCTTTTACATGCAAAACACAGATTTCAACTCACCAAACTCTCTTTCGTGTTTGTTTGCTTGTTTCAGGAAAGCAAGGTCACTTTTACTGAATGAAGATGTGACAGGAGACAAAGAGAGAAAATGTTCAAGGAAGAACATGGGGTTCCCCAAAATAAAGAGAAATAAACAGGCAAAGGAACATGGAGACCAGAAACCCAGAACACGGGCATGGAGAGCGAGCCTCTGCCAGGGGATCTTGCAGGTATCAAACCTAGACTCCTAATGGACACACATGCCCCCTTCTGAGCTATCTCCCTGGCCCCGCATGATGGTCGGGAGGAAGCAGATTACCGAATGCCTCCATATTTACATCTAACTGGAAAAGAAGTAAGACACGAGCCTCAGTGCCTGTGCAAGGAAGGCGGGAGCCAGAACTGTGATTCCCTGTAGGAAAGTGCGCTGTTACCCACAAATCCCCTTGTGAACTTTGGGATGATGCAGGAAGCCTGTCTCTGCAGGCACCCACATGAAGAAACACAGACTTGTATGGAGATCCTGCTACCCTGGGCCTAGTCCCAAACGTGGTTGCCGTCGAACTCATACTTTCCTCACGTGCAAGAAACCTCAGCCGTGACGTGCTCCCATTGGGGCTGGGTGGAACCCTGCAGGGGCAAACGTCCAACGGCGTGGGAGCAACCTCTGTGCTTTGATGGAATCCTACAGAAAAACGCTGTGCTAAGTTCAGTTCTCAGAAGTCCAGTTTCACAGTAAAACCAGAACCAACAAGGAACACCGTTCTCCCCAAAAAGCAAAGAAAATGAGCAGACAGATATACAGATACAGGGGAGCAGGCCAGGAACATGGCTTCGTGGAATGGCAAGTTGGAACTGTCGGAAAACAGCACGGGAGTATGAAACATACTCAAAACCCATACAAAAAACACCACAACCTGAAACGAACCCCTTTCCCGATGGGTTTGGAGCCACCCAGCTGACAGCGTGGGGCTGATCAGCCTTAGGGTCGGCGGAGCTGGGTCCTGTCATCTAGGCTATCTCAGGTCAGGCTTCCCCAGGGCCCCGCTTGGCGCTACCACAGAAGGGACATGGAAGAGGGGCGTGGGAAGCAGAGTGTAGCTAGAACGCCATGTCTTGTCCCTGCATGGATGAAGCCTGTCTGCCACACCCACCAGCCCTCACTATCCCACCTGCCTCAGTTTATCTTCCCGACTGGCAGCCCCGCTATTCAGACCAGGCTACAGAAGAAACACCCTTTCACACACCTCTCCACCAGCACCCCAGGGCCCTCTCAGCCTCAGCCATTCTCCACTACACCCCTTTTCCCTCTGCGTCGCCTACAACAACGCCCCTTTTCCAAATCACTGTCAGTCTTCCGGCTGCCCTAGTCTAACACCAACAGTGGCTCAAAGAAGACCGAGAAGCACAAAATTCTAAGCCGATGCTGCCTAAAGGGGAAACCCAATTTTCTAGGAAGGAAAGAGAAGCAGGGAATGAAAGTAGCCTACTCCAGGTGATGAGGTGCACCAGCAACAAAGCTAAGAGCAAGCATGACCTGACCTGGGAGGGCGGGGAACGGGGAGAGCCGCTGTGGGGAGACTGGGATGGAGTTGTTTCATCAACTCCACTGAAACCATCTCAAGGCAAAAGGCAAGGACACCTTGTTACTGATGCCCAGACAGACAGCAGCGAGGCCCAGAGCATAGTATAGAAGGCCTGACAGACGAAGATTTTTGGCAACATATCCCACTTGTGGGACAAAGAATAGAAATGCCGAAGAATGGAATTTTTCAATTGATTATCGGGCTGGAGCGATAGCACAGTGGTAGGGCGTTTGCCTTGCACGCAGCCAACAAGGCCGACCCGAGTTCGATTCCTCCGCCCCTCTCGGAGAGCCCGGCAAGCTACTGAGAGGATCTCGCCCGCACGGCAGGGCCTGGCAAGCTCCCCGTGATGTATTCGATATGCCAGACATAGTAACAACAAAGTCTCCAATGGAGACGTTACTGGGCCCGCTCGAGCAAATCGATGAACAACGGGGAGGGCCTTTACCTTTATCTGGCCACAAGAGACAGATTCCTTATAGCTAGGGATCACTGTGTTTAGTTCAACTGTTTTAGGTCCCACAGAGACATTTACTAATTTACGGATTGTTTTGGTGACTCTATTCACCTTCCCACCTCCGTAACATGTCTGGGTCTTTCTGTCCTGTTCTAAATCACAACTTAGGATTTATGGCCCATTCATCTTTGCCCAGCGCCCAGAAGGAGCTACTCAGAGGTCTTCCTCTTAGTTACCTGATAAACAACCTGGTTTTGCTCCTAGCTTTTCCACTGCATTCACCCTGGGTGCTAATTCAGAGCAGCAGTACATCAGGCTAAAACATTCCCTGGGCAAAAAATTACAATAATAAAAGAGTTCAGGAAGGCGGGTGGGAGCCATAGTACAGTGGGGAGGGTAGGTAGGTGCCTTGCACTCGACTGACCTAGGTTCAATCCCTGCACCCCATAGAGTTCCCTGAGCCTACCAGGAGTGGTCCCTGAGCACAGAGCCAGGAATAAGCCCTGATTACAGCCAGGTGTGTCCCCCAAACAAACAAATAAATGAAGATCAAAACCTGTCATTTTGACTTTTCCCATATCAGCGAGAGCAGACCATAGCCATCACACTCTCCTGTATGGTGCTGACAGTGAACCCGACACCAGGCAGAAATTTCAGCCACATAAGTGAAGAGGGTCCCCGGGGGGGAGGAATGTGAGGCCTGTTAGACAGATGGAGGCCAAGGTCCCAGGCAATGGAAAGCAGATCCCCTGCAAAGGGGCGGGCAGAGAGGTGGTTACAGAAAAGGAATATCAGATTGTTTCTGTTTTACACATGGAACTCTTGGGGCTGAATCCATGAGGAGAGAAGGCACTTGTCTTGCATGCTAAGCCTGGTTCGACGACACACGGTCTGCGAGCCAGGTCCACACCCTGAACACAGCCAGGTATGGCCCAAACTGTCCTGTTCCAATAAGGAAAATAATTTTAATGGAACTACTTGATTTTTTTAAACATTCTCAGAGAGCACTAATGATTGAAAAAAATAAAGTCTAAACTGAAGACCTTAAGCTATCAGCCTTCAGGGGGGTGACGTTTCTCCTCTCTTCTCCCTTTCCCCACAGAAAAACCTCAAGCTACAGCCTTCACTTCCATCACCTAGAAATGTCCTTTCCTTTCTTTTTTCCCATTTTTTTTTAAAAAAAATTCAGCTTTACTCTGATATGATTCGTAATAAATATTATTCACTTATTTAAAGAGAACAATGTTTTTTAGAATATTCACAGAGTTGTGCATCTGTCATTCAAATCACTTCCAGAACATTTTCTTTACCTCCCAAAGACACCCCCTACCTATTATCACTCATCCCCCCATTTCTCTTCTCGTTCCACCCCGCGGCAGTTGCTAATCTACTTAGTCTCCAGAGATTTGCTTATTCCGAACATTTCATTGCAACTTCACATTTCATAAAGTACATGATCCTCTGTCACTGGTTAGCGTCACACAGCATGCTCACAATAGACAATACACTGATACACATATTGTATCAAGAATTTACTCCTTTTGAAGGACAAGCAATATTTCATCATTCAGATACATACACCTAATTTTTCCAGTCCATGTATTGATTAATGACCATTTGTATTTTTCCTTTTTGGCCCTTAGAAATAATGCTGCTTATGAAAGCTCATGTCTCTCAAGTAGACACTGAGGAGTAGAAAAACTGACCCGACGACGGTAACTCTTAAGTTTAACCACTTGGGGAGCTGCTGAAGTAATTGTTTTGTTTTCCATAGCAGCTGGGCTATATCATATTCCACCACTCCCCCCCGCCAACAGTATATGGGAGGGGTATAGGGGTAGGCTACACCCCATGGTCCTCCTGTGCAGAGAGAGACTTCTGGCAGTGCTGTGGGACCACAGACTGCTGGGGGTAGAACCAGGGTCAGCTGTGTTCAAGGCCCTTACCCCTGACCCCTATCTCTCGGGCCCC